AGAAATAACAGGACAAAGAAAATCTGGCCAGAGGCAGTAAGTTTTCTGGCGGGGGGCGGTCCTCAGGAGCTACATGGGGAGGTGTAACACCAGTGGGAGATGTGGTTATAGTTGGTTCAGGTCCAATCACCTCCATGTGTCTGGTGACACGGGCTGTTTTCTCACCCTGGTACAGACAGGGTACCCCTCCCAGCGGAATCTTTGTGGCTTGCTGCTTTCAAGAAGAGACAGGTCATCTCACCCTTTCTGAAACTAAAATTTCTCCGATATTTTCAACTCGAAATAATCAATATAGGCTGAGGTGGGAGGATCACTTGAGCTCAGGAGTTCAAGACCAGCCTTGGCAAGAGCAAGACCCTGTCTCTACTAAAAATAGAAAATAAGCCAGGCAACTAAAAATAGAAAAAAAAAAATTAGCTAGGTGTGGTGGTGTACGCCTGTAGTCCCAGCTACTTGGGAGGCTGAGGCAGGAGGATCGCTTCAGCCCAGGAGTTAGAGGCTGCAGTGAGCTACGATGATGCCACTGCACTCCAGCCCAGGCGACAGATCAAGACTGTTGAAAAAAAAAAAAGGTCAACTAGACATCTTTTGGGATGGCACCTGCTTCCCACCATCAACACCATCACGAGGGGCACAGAAAGGTCTATGGGACCAAGTCAGTCCCCCTCCCCAGTGCACCTTCCATTCTCCCTGACTCTTGCCAATTTCTTGAAAATTCTTCTAGAAACATTCTAGGCATATATAAGCATATTGTGGAAACAACTATTGTATTAGTCTGCAAGGGCTACCATGACAGAATACCACAGATTTTTCGAGGCTTAAACAAGGGAACTTTACTTTCTTAGAAAATTCTGGAGGCTGGAAAGTCCAAGACTGAAGTCCTGGCAGAGTGGCCTCCCAGTGAGACTCCCCTGGCGTGCAGCTGTGTGCGAACATGGTGGATGGGGGTTTGCCCTGTGGTGCCTCTTGGGATAAGAATACTAATCCTGTCTGATCAGTGTCCCACCCTTGTGACCTCATTTAACCTTAGTTATTAATTTTAAATACTTCTTTAGGGGCCCCATCTCCAAATACAGTCACAATGGGGGTTAGAGCTTCAACATATGAATTTGTGGGGGACACAGACATTCATTCCATAGTGGCCTTTTTTTTTTCCCTTGAGACAGGGTCTTGCTCTATTGCCCAGGCTGGAGTGCAGTGGTGGTATCACAGCTCACTGTAGCCTTCAGTTCCTGGGCTCAAGTGATCTTCCTGCCTCAGCCTCCGTAAGTGCAGGGATTACAGGTGTGAGCCACGGTGCCCAGCCACGGCCATATATTTTTTTTTAACAGAAATAGTGGCATTTGCTACACACCATTGTATGCCTGCTTTTTTCACTTAAGGCTTGTTTCCCAGAGGAATCCTTCCACTTAAGTAAACAGAGAGCTTATCCAGTTTTTAGGCAGCTGCCTAGTATTCTGAAGTGGGGCCCCACCAAAGTTTATCAGCCACTCTGTTACTAAGGGATGCCTATTTCCTGTTATTTGCTATTAAAATAATGACTTCGTAGTCATGCAATTTCAGACCTATGTGAATGTATCAGTCAGATGAATACCTACCTGTAAGTGATCAGTTGTGAGGCGGATGAATTACTCTTAGCATTTCTTAACACACATTCCTAACCCACATGGTGGCATCACCACCCATCCTCCAGACCCTGTGCTGAGCCCAGGCCTACCGCCCCAAAAGGAAAACAGGCACATTTTTATGTGTTTTTGTAATGGTTAATCGTCTTAACGCAAATAGAGCTGAGTTTTTGCTTCCTCGGAAGCCAGAAAAGTACAATTCTAATACATCCAGGTTGGGATAGAAGTAGCGTATGTAAGCGTCAAATATTGAGTTTTCATAGAACTACTTTTCAATATTTCAAAACTTTTTCAGTCACTTGAATGCTCTGGTGAAAAATTTAACCATTAAAAAAACTACAGGGTTCAGTGACCTACATATGTAATCCCAGGGTTACTGAGCTTCTCAGGAGACAGAGTTGTGTGGCCGGGATCGGGTGGGAGGGCGAGACCCCACCCACCCCAGAGCAGGTGTCCTCGGTGGGGGATGCTGGGAACGCAGGTGAGGTGGGAAGAGTGGGGGCATGAATGAGTCCCCTCCTGCCCACCATCCACCCAGACTTATCCAGAGTTTGTGTGGTCAGCACAGTAACACTCAACAGTGTCTGCATTCTAATCCCTGGCATCTGTGGGCATGTCACCTACCACAGCAAAAAGGACTTTGCAAATGGGATTAAAGACCTTGAGATGAGAGATCATCCCGGATTACTTGGGTGGGCCCAGCGTCAACACAGGGATCCTTAAAACCACGAACCTTCTCCAGCCGGAGGCACAAGAGAAGGGCAGAGGGAAGATCAGTTCTGTCTTAAACACTTGCTCCGGGCCAGGCTGCCAGTGCCTTGGGGAGCGGTGCAACCGGCACGGGCTCAGCGCGGGCGGCCCCACCTTTGTGTCCCTGGGTCCCCGTCTGGGTACAGAAGGGATCGGGGAATGGGCGATTCCATAGGAAGGTCCTGGAATCCTCCCGGCGGGGGACGGTGGCTGGACCGAGGCGCAGACGGGGAGAGGGGCTCAGAGTCCTGACTCCGAGGAATGAAAGTGTCGGGTGGGGGCCTGGGTGTGGATGGGGGGGTCATAAGGGCCCCCAGAGGCGAGGAGACCCGGAGGTCGGTGGAAGGCGTGGTCGGGGCACTGGACTCCGGGCCTCCAGACCCGGGCCGAGAGGGGGCGGCTCCCGCCAGTGTTTTCCCGCGCACGGCCGGCAGGAGGCGGCGCCGCAGCAACCCCCAGGCCGGGAGGCTCGCGTGGCGGCCACCAGGCCTCCGAGCGCAGCAGCTCCGCGCGGACGGGCCCAGTGCGCAGGCGCGCCCCGCCGCAGGCCCCGCCCCTAACCATGCGCTGACTGGCGGTAGTCGCCGAGGGGCGGGGCCTGCAGTTGCGGGGCGGGGCCTGGCGCCGCGGCTGCGCAGCACGGGGCCCCGCGCGGGCGGGTGGGCGGAGCGGGCCCCCCGAGCGGGGGCTGGCGAGCGCGGGGAGGGGGCCGAGAGGGCGGCAGAGCCGGC